CTCCTCCTCTTTTCATCGGATTCGGGCGATGATGTGTTGTTCGTGTTTTTTGGCGATAATTGAATTATTCGAATACGTCACTGTTTTTTCTTGGAGCCGATGCGAGGGTTTACGATGCCAGATTCTTTCGTCATTTATTATCGGATGACAGAAATGAAATAGTAACCGGGGAAGAAATACCATACGATCATTTTTTGTGATTGCCATTTGATTGGCTATGGATAATAATTGGATGGATAATAAGATCAAAATTTAGTTGAAAGGGACATTAATAATCAACGGATTAAAACGAAACATTATACGAACTTTACCTTGAGCGTTCATTTATTTAGTCGCACTTTTAAATATAACTTTTGTGTTTTTGGAGATTTAAGTTATTAAAAAATTAAATTGTAGGGTTTTTAGTTTTATGACGTATTACCAAAAATGTCATACGCTGCCAAATATCACAAATATTATTGGCATACGGTATATAGAATAATTTTTAAATGGGACATGCTCTACATGGTGAGTCTTAAATTAACCACGATTATGATTTTTTTGCGAAAATAAAAATGGAGTTTTTTGAACATTTTTTGGGATTTTTTTTAGTTTTTAGTTAAAAAAACATTATTTCTTGATAATATGGCACCATAGGTAGTAGATTAAATTTACAAGGAAAGGAAATCCAGAAAAGATCCAGTGGTTCTCAAAATTTAAGCAAAAAATATTTTTTTTGGAAAGTTTCAAAGTAAAATAACTCGGTTATTTTGGATTTATTTGGAAAACGATAGAGAGAAAATGTGTTTGTTTTATCGAGATCTACCAGCCCTAAAAATATTTGTATTTATTTAAGACCCACCCTGTATATTAGAAGTGTATTGAATAGTATTTTTTTGATTATTATTATCACATTCGATAAAATATACACCAATGTTAATATATGTTCGAAACAATATGATCGAAAAAAAACGGCGTCTGTGACGGCTATGAAATGAAGATCGCCGTTGTTTTCTATGTAAAATTATATAGGAATTGTAATCGATTGTCATTTCCAAACCAACCGAACGCCGTTTTTTTTTTTTGATCATGTAGAAAGGATTGGAATACCATACTATATTGACCATACCTACTGTTAGTTTTACATATGCTATTGTACACATTATATCAAATTTAAATAAAACTTTTAACAAGAAGAACAACAACAAAGGGCATGTATGATATATATTTGAGTATTTAATATACAGGGTATCGTATTTAAAATAGTATTCTTATACCAAAATCTGTGACATTTCACAGCGTATGATATTTTTTCTAATAAGTAATAAAACTTGATTTAAAAATCTATATATAATTTGCTTTTTTAATGAACGTTTATCTCGAAAAACATATAATTGACTATATATATAAATATAAATAATTGACTATATATAAAAACATATAGTCAATTAAAAAATGCGAAAAAATAATTGAAAGTGTTATACCTATTGATATTCAATATACTCAAACTAAATCTAAATGCCTCAATATACGAAACAGAAGCAAACCAGGTAAAGTCGCCATCGCAGCCGTTGACGTCTGCTCGCTAAACTTTCGATTTCTAATATCCTGCCGTAGTTTCCTGGTAATGGGAGTTTAATTTCCGCCCCTGGGCGAACAACAATCTTCTGCTTATTGATTGTCGACGACGTTCGTATTTGCCCGTTGCAGATCCGATAAACAACCATGGACGAACGCCTTCCAGAGAACTTCCGACCGTAAACAAATAGTCGATCGGATAAAGTCGAACGAACTGGCTTATAATTGAAATAAACTCTCCAGATAATAAAGCAGAGTGGGAGCTTGTTATGGTTGGACTAACGAATCGATAACTGCCTGAGTTTTTCCATTTGCAGAGATTATAGAGCGATCGACAATGATTGAAATAGTTGGCTATTCTGATTTTACTTGTTTGGTTGGCAAACAATTTAAGAAATTCGAATATACAAGGTGTCCCAATATTTAGTGGACATTGAACTACTACTTACCTATTGTTGGAATCAAAATAAGTTCATTGGGCACAATTTACCTCTATACAAAAGTGCTTCGTTTGTCCTAGAGAACAACATCAAACTTTAAAAAAATATTCAAATTTTTTCAGATATTTTAAGAACCGTTATTCCGATTTGAATTGAGTTTTTGGGTGTCTATGTTTTGCTAAGTGCTTCAACATTTGACATTCAGAAAAATTAAGAAAAGGTACGGGAAGGGTAAAAACTACCCGCACCCCTACACAAATTTTAATATAAATATATTCCAATTCTATACTATTTACTACATTTTTTGTCTCTTGTAAAAAACGCAACTTGTAATATAAACAAACTGTTCAGTTTCGAATGTGTTAAATGTGGCATCTTTTGACTGTATTAAACTACAAACCTTGGTTTAAGGACAGTTTCTGTATTATCATTTCTCTTTTATTAAAGTTCAGAACGGTATAGTTGGATTCTTTGGAATAGTGATCAAGGTTTTCTCTGCCGTACTTTTTTACTTGTAAATTCCAGGCAGATTACGGCATTCCTCTTATTTCAATTAATTAAATAAGTAGGGCTATTTGCAAATTTAGCGTTTGATTTACATAAACTATTCTCCTCAAATTTCCCTAATATTGCTTCTGTCGAGCGCATCCAAGGTAACTCACAGTAAAAAATATTTTTAACATAACGTAGGTTCATTTATTTCATTTAAATTGTGTTATACAGTTGGCCAAAATCGAGGCCAAAATATTACCTCTTCAACTTCAACTTTGTTGAACGACCCTGAATTGTTATACTACCAGTACCTAATGTAACCTAACTAAAATTAGAAAATCTACATTAAAATTAAATCGAATATCGTATATCTTCTAGTATTAAATCCATTTACTAAATTAAATTATTAATATTTTATTTAACTCGCATATACAACTGGCAACATATTTAAATATCCTTGATTTCCTATTAAACCAATACATTACAATTAAATTTGTTTATTTTGATTACTATATAGCCATGGATTAATAAATTGGTACTCGATTATACACCCAGAAAAAAATATCATTAATAAACTATGATATGTATCCAAATAACCTATGTTAATAAAATAAGCACATAATAATATTATAGTCATAGAACAAATTAACATTAAATATATCCAAATGATGTACAACTAAAAATAAAAATAATGTTGGTAGATAAGTGAATATATATGTTGACTTGTCTATAAACATGTTCTTGTAATCTGCACATCAACAATAAGTCAAAATCTCATAATTAATATATTATAAAATTAGGAAATGTTTTCAAATTATTGTAGGAAATTATTATTAGGACAGGATGAAATGCAATAAAATGCATTGTCTAGTCAAATGTCAAAAAGTCAAATGTCAAATGTCAATGTCAAAAAGTCAGAATGGTCTTTTTCATATTTAATAGTATTTTTTCTAAGAGAAAATAGTATATATATCTAAAATGTGGTTTAACACACAAATTAATGTAGATTAAGCAGGGGGTATTATTAAGCACAAGCTTAATAATACCCCTAATACATAATAAATTAATGTAGATTAAGCACATGCATACGGGTGGGGTAGTGGGAGTAATTACCCCTTCCAGGATCCCAGGAATTAATTTATAAATATTGACAAAATGTGCCACATAAAATAAATTAATAATACAAATCAAAATAGAAACAAGAGGCCAACTCAAGTTTCTTTTCTTCCAGAGTCACAATACCTTTCAGCGAAAATTTAATTGAAATTTAAATTTTGCCACAACCACTCCCAGACTCAATTTCTCGATGCGCCACTGAGATTAAGTATCAGGTATTGGATAACTATTTTGTCATATTCAGTGTGTCTTTTTTAATAAAATAATTAACAATAAACAGTACACGTGTATTCAACCATATCGAATGGCAAATCGACCAAAACCGTTTGAAAGTCAAGTGAAATTTTTGGCACTAAACCAGCAGTTAACTTACACAAATAAAAATTCATTGTAAAATACAAAAGTATAAGATAATATTTATACATACAAATAGATAAAACAAATAATGTTATTATACTTCATCTTCAGCTCATTCGACCATTTCCAATTATGGTATAACCTCCCTCACATATTTAGATAATCTCGTTGTAGTTGGGCCCATTGTTGTCTATTGTTGGCTATGCGGCTGCAAGTTATCCCTGCTAATTTCGTAATATCATGGTCCCATCTCAGGTTTGGTCTTCTTCTGGTCTCTTAGTTCCTCATGGGTATCATGCTGGAATTTTTGTGGTCCTCTTTTCTCTCAGTTTTTTATCGCATCACTCTATTCTTTTACAGTCTTTCTTGGTTATTCCCAGCATATTTCGTTCCATTGTGTGTTGTGCGACTGTGCAGTTTCCGTTGTAAGTGTCCAGGTTTCGTATGCATAGGTCATGACTGCTAGGACACATTGGTCGAATGTTTTCTTCTTTAGATATAGTGGCATTCTAGATTTGAATATGATTGCATTTCTTCCACGAAGTACTCCACGCTAACTTTTTAATTATTCTGTTGATTTCTGGTAGTATAGATACCGAGCTGTGTATTAGTTGTCCCAAATATATATATTCTTCTACTATTTCAAGTGTTGTCTTATTTATTATTGTTTTTCTGTCCACTAGTTTGTCGTACATTATTTTAGTTTTTGCTAAATTCATTTTGAGACCCACTTTAATACTTCTTCAGGACTATTGGCAATTAGGACTATATCTTAATTGCCAATTCATCCAAATTAGAAAACTATAATAAAAAAGTATGGCAAACTTTTAACAAAAACTCGGATATTTTTTCTCAGTGTACACCGGCCTTTTGTTACTATTTCGTCTTCGCAACTTACCAATTAATTATAAGACGTATCGCTTCCACATAGGTCGGTGAACAGCAAAGCACTCAAAGCAGTGTTATTTGACAACCGAGACGAAGTAGGTCGTGTTCTTTCGGCTTTTGTTTAAATTCGAACAGTTGGCTTATTATTGTGTGTCATGCTGGTATCCGTAATCGATCAGTAAAGTGTCATGTCATTTTTAACGTGCAAGTGTCAAAAATATTCCGGATTTACGTTAAACAATAACACTTCGGTAAGCAGACACTTTTTTATACTCTTACAAGAATTTGAATTTGTATATTCTTTTCTCTCTTCATTAACTTTAATACTTACAAAAAGAAGAAGAATCAGTATTGGGGGAAAGTAAATAAAGTAGTTTAATAATTGTCTCGATAATTGTCAACACAGAATTATTTAAATCCGGCTGAATTCATTACAAATGGATATAATTTCAAACTTTTTATTTATGTTTTAAAAATTAATTTCCTTCGTGAAAAAATTCCGCTTCACACTTTGCAGAAATTTTATTTTTAGTAATTACGGAAACTTTTCAAACTTTTTTTAATTAAAATCAGAATGAAGGAAGGTAAAGGGAATTTTTTAAGCCCCGAAATATTGAATTTTAATTTCATCGAATATTAAGCACAATTCAAACAATGATTGCATTTTATTTATGATGTATTCATTAAACATCTAATGTTGAATGAATACATCAGAACTCGGAATGTATTTCAGTTTCTAAACCTTATTATGCTTTTATGATTTTTATAATAGATAATCATCATTACAAAATTAAACAAAACAGTTTGTCATTTTTTGTCTTAACTACATTGGATGCGCGAATTCATACGATGTGTTCATAAAAAGTTTTACGAACTCATAAGAAGTCAGAATAAACCAAACGCATATTTTGACACTTTTGTAGCTACATTGCTTACGACTATTTCTTACGAATTCCTAGGACTTTGTAGGAAATTTAAATGCGTCCAAAATATTTTATTTTTATTGATACGAATAGGATCCATTAGTTTATTGATATGCATTGTGAAATATTAATATGTTTAGTCCATGAAAGAAGATCTCTGTGAGGTCAAAAACCTCAGCAGTATCATAACAGAAAGGTAAATAAAAGAAAGTGTGGAAAGAGGCAGTGATGATGAACTAAACTAGGAAGTATATATTATTTCCACTTATTTATCAATTCATTTATTCAAAATATGACAGAAATATACTGTCATAGAATAATAGTTAAAATGTCGTGTTTAGTTATAGACGTTATAGTTAATATGGTTAAAATTTCATATTTCAATGTTTTAATTGTTCGTTTATTTGGAATTTTATAGTATTTTTTTTCGAGTTTCTTCTAAATCAATTATTATAATGTGCAACACACAAAGACACTTTGCAGTTAATTCGGCCTACACACGTCCAACTTGGTTGACTAACAAAAATCGATATTATTTCCCACTATATTATCCTATAATATATAAGATGGCTGGTATTTTATCAAAAAGTAAAAAAATCGGTCTTGCCTTTGCATTATTGTTACCTTTGGATTCTCTTAATTTGATTTGATACTTCCATGCGTCCATGCACACAAAGTGAATATAATTCGGTTCGTTGGTGCCACTTGTTAGTTCGTTTGGAAATTCATCCATTATGTTCGTGATATTTCTTTTGATGGTTTACACAAAAACTGGGCTTGTTATGTGATTTTCTGACCCAATAAATCAGACCAGATTTAAAATTTTCATACAACAAAACTACACACGAGCCGATTTTTCATCCAACCGACTAAATCGACCCAACCTTATGACCGAATTGGATCTTGTATAGTCGGTTTAAATCAATTTTATCAAGAATAATTTCCCCAATATTCGTTTTTAAATCTTTTATATTTTTACATTATTTTGTATTATCATCATTATCATTCTCAGCTTACCATTTCCATTTATATGGTGTCGCCTCCCTCACATATTTAGATAATATCTTTGTAAATGGGCTCCTAGTTGTCTATTGTTGGCTATGCAAGTCCAAATTATTCATGCTAATTTTCTAATATGATCCCATCTCAGGTTTGGTCTTCTTCTAGATCTTTCAATTCCTCGTAGGTACCATACTGTAATGTTTGTGATCCGTCTGTTGTCCGTCCTTCTTGTCAAGTGTCTTGCCCATTGCCATTTGAGGGATTTGTTTCAATGGATGACATCTATTACCTGGGTCTTTTGTCGTATCCACTCTATTCTTTTACGGTCTTTCTTGGTTATTCCCAGCATATTCCATTCCATCGAGCTTTGTGCGACCTGCAGTTTCCTTATAATATCCATTTTAAGTATCCAGGTTTCTTATACATGACTGGTAGTACACATTGGTCGAATGTTTTCTTGTTTAGGTAAAATGTTATTCTAGGTTTGAATATGATTGAGTTTCTTCCATAAGTACTTCATGCCAACTTAATTCTTCTGTTGATTTCTGGTAGTAGAGATCCCGAGCTGTGTATTAGTTGTCCCAAATAGATATTCTTCCACTACTTATGTTGTTTTATTTATTAGAATGTCTTTCCTGTCTACTAGTGCGATGTACATTACTTTAATTTGTGCCAAATTCATTTTTAGACCTACTTTATTGCTGGCTGTATTTAGTTCGTTAATTTGTGATTGTAGCTCTTCAGGACTATTATTGTTAAGATATTCTTTATCTATTTTTAAGCCTTTTTTGGTCCAGTCTTAATATTTTTTATAATTTATATTACCTCGTAAAAAATAATCTTCAATCCATTTACTTAACTTTCCTCAATAAAAAAATGAATAGCAGCATTCATATTCCATAACAACTATGAGCAATTAAATCTATGTTTGGTAAACAAAGTGTAACTAGACTCACTAGACTGGCCATACGATTTCGTACATACAAACTACCGATGCCTAACCGTGCAGCCTAATATTAACTTTTAGTTCTAATTGAAATTTAAATGTGGAAATAAAGATCGCTGTCATTTGTATATAAAATTATATACTGATATCATCGATTGTCATTTCCAAGCCAACTTGAGGCCGCCGTTTTTTTCATACCTACAGTATTTTATTTAACGGCAAATGTGCTCTAATAACATTCTATTTTTTTTTTCAGAGAGAATCAGCTCAGAGGGATGCAGACCGCGAGAGGAGACTGCGTGTCGACAGCGAGTCCAGGGCCAAGCAGGCCTTGCAGGAGGCTGCCCGCTGCAGATCCCGACTCAAGCTGCTCACTCAGGAATTTGCCAGGTAAAAATACATACGCTTACTTTTATACGCGGCTCTCGTTTTCGGCGAAGAAGAAGGTGATTCACTTGCCGCGATATTTTCGTCGATCTATTATTGTCATATCGTCGTCCTAGTTTGGGATTCTGTCAGCTGTACGATGCGAAGCGATAATGTTAATGTACGGGAACGTTGAAAAAAACGGCCGAACTAATAATGTGTGAAATGAGTTGGTGCAGTTTTTAAATTGACTTTTACTGTTTTTAATTTAAGTCATCTAGAAAAAAGCTTTAGAATTCCTTATTAGAAATTAATAGCTAGTCATATTTTTGGTATTTCTATGCTTTCTTTTTAATAATTTATTGATCTGTCTCTTTGGTTTACTATAGTGAATATTGTACGATATTTTTTTAGTTCTGAAATTTGAAAGAAACACTTATTTTATAGACTAATAAATATTATGATTGTATTGTTGTATTTCTTTAATTTTGAAAATCTGCAAATTAAATTAATTAGAGATGTGTAGAATGTGATTTTTGTATTATATTTATGGTAAAATATAAATTTCAAAAATTGTCTGTTTGCGACGTGATTGTTAGAAAATTGCAATTAAACTGTAAAAGGTTTGGAATTTGAAATTGGTGACGATCTAAAACATAAAACTTGCAACAATGCTAAAAATGAAATGCAAAAACGAATAACAATAGTAATTAGGTAAATAAAATTCGACCTCCTTTATTGGGATATCTACTACTACTACTGCCATTACTCGCTGGCGAATATTTGACACGTATCATAAGATGGTTACGCAAGGCGTTTTCTTCCATGAGCTTTTCTGTGACTGAAAAGCCCGATACGTGATGTTATCTGTCTACCGCACTCCGGACATTCAAAAATATCATTACTTTGTTGCCTCTTTACTCTTTGGTTGTCGATGTTAACTGAGTTTACAATTCTTCTCCATTGCGTTCTATTGTGCACTGCTGCTTCCCACTGCGATTCTGCATGCTTATTCCCTTTAAGTGTTCGCGGAAAATATCCTTGTACCTTTGTGGACAATTCACTACCCGGTTTCCTCTTACCGTCTACAAGCTCACCGTAAAGAAGAGATTTTGGTAGGCGGTTTTCTTGCATCTTGCATACCTTAAGCAGGATTTAGTAATCATGACTTTAGCGCTCTCGCAGCTAGCATTTCAAGGACCGATACGTTTGAAACATGGTGGTACTATCTGATTCTTAACAGTTGTGTAAGGAGTCTCTGTTGCAACTTTTTTAATGCTTTATGTGTCGGCAGTACGACACCCAGGCTTCGCTTCCGCATATAACATGGTGAGGATTATTATTGCTCGGTACACTGCAAGTTTCGTTTTTGTGCCTTGATTGTAGAAAACTATAGGTATATCGAAAACTCAAGGAGATACGAGATTATTTAAATTATGCCAGAAAAAAAAATCGAAATCTTCAATTTTCGGATTTTCTCGAATATATCCGGAACTATTCGGAATTTTAAATGTTTCTAAACGATATATTATTAAGCACATTAAATCCACAAGTTTGTACTAATTTAACTATCCTGGTATCTCCTACATCTTTCGAGATGGCAATGGTGGGGGTCGAATTTGAATTAAACAGTCCATATTTAAATTATTTTTTTCACGCTTCAAAAATGCAAAATTACATTTACAAAACGTGTACATATAAATATTACTGAGTAAAATTATACCGAGTGCGTCTCAAAAATGGCCCACCCCTATAACTTTTTTATTTTTTCAGATAAAAAAAGGAGATTTAGTATGTTAGTATATGACATAAATTAGGATTGATTGACGTATTCAATTTTTTTCGGTTACTTCCGGTTTCACCGGACATGACTACACCTTTTAATGGCACTTTTGGTATTTTTTTACTTTTCGATAGAAAATGACACTCTGAATAGAATGACTTCATATGTTCAACTTTTGACATTTTCTCATATGGTTTATTTGAAATTGAAACATGCGGTTCATAACGACAATTTGACTCGAAATACCAAGTGTGTTGTACTAAATTATTCGTAAAAAATGCGTTTTCCAAATATGCTAATGAGCCACCTTCGTTCCATTTGACAAAATTGCGATATGATTAAAAATACGATTTGGGCATCTTTTAACCGGCAAGGACAAGACGCTAAAAACTTCAGGCAATCAAATCTATTTTTCTAAGGCTCCTTGATTAAAAAGTCATGGCACTTAGATTAAAATTTAAAAAACAGTTTTTTAAACGAGAATCTCAAAAGTTGACGTATGATATGTCATTCTATTCAGAGTATCATTTTCTATTGAATATATTAAAAAAATACGGATAGTGCCATTTAAAAATTAATAAAAAAGTTCGAGTCATTTCCGGTGAAACTGGAAGTGACCGAAAACAATTATTGAATACGTCAATCAATCCTCATTTATGCGAGCATTTATGTCATATACTAACATACCAAATATTGTCATTTCATCAGAAAAAATAAAAAAGTTAGGGGTGCGCCACTTTCGAGACGCACCCGTATAACTTTTTATTTTTTTTAGATAAAAATCGGGATTTGGTCTTCAACAATTTGTTTTGATACGCACCCGCTATAAGAATCACTGGTCATACGACCAACGACGAATCAATTGAACAGAACCTAATCAGACAAAAAACTAGTTTCTAGATTGTTATTTAAATGAGACGTCCTGTAAATATTTTAATTTATTTAAATTCTCAAATAAATTGTCTTATTTAACAACTAATATAAAATAAACATAAACATTATTACACCAATTATCTAAACCCAATATCCTGCTTCGAAATACCAGCACCCCCACAATATTTGCTAATATTCTAAGCCTAGCCTTCGGCAAAATGAGGGTCCCCAACGTTTCTCCTCTCCGGTGTACCCCTTGTCCCCAGTCTTTTGTTCCCTTCAATCTTATCATAAACCGGTGACTGATTGTTTTACGTCTCCCCTTTAATTCGAACCTATGTAAATGCGATAAGACAAGTTAAACAGTAGCATGTGGGGTTACTTCTTGGCGTAGACTTCCGAGAGGAGATTACTCCTTGACTGCATTACGTTCATCTTTGAAGCGGTTTTGTCTCTTGATACACGTGGACGGAAAGCGATAAAGACATTGGAGATAAATAAATGGACTAATTGCAATTTCAAATAGATTATTATCGTGTTATGTGTAATTGAATACCCTGACTTACGATTTTAATAATTCGATACTATAAACCTACGCGCTGACCTTTAATTATTAGTCGGCCGAGTATTTAGTTGCAAAAGTAAAAACAATACATACTTATGAAGTCAATCGGCCGACTATTTGATTGCATGTGAGCGCGGCTCCATAAGGATATATTGGTTACAGATATGCAACTAAATAGTCGGCCGATTAAAAATTGCCTGTCAGCGCATAGCCTAAGGCTACGCAATGTAATCAAATATTGGGCCCTTCGACTTCATAAGAATGTATTGTTTTCACTTTTGCAACTAAATCGTCGGCCGACAAAAAATGACAAATCACTGCGTAGCCTAATTATCCCAAAAAAAACTCACAAGAGAAGGGCAGAAAAATGTATGCTTTATTTAGAAATATGTAATAATTACTTTTATTCAAATATGCGATAATTGTTTTGAGTATCGTATTTTAGGAAACAAAAATAAATTAATTATAAATATATAAACAGCACTTAAAGGACATAAAGGGCCATTTACTATCGTTTTCCCGTTCAAAATATTCTAATAAGGTTGCGATGAGTTTGGTTAAAGTATCACAACAAAACTCAAAGTATCACAACACAAACCCCAAATCATAGACACAATGATAACAATACACAATGTACAATTAATATAATTAACAACAAGTATAATACGTATAACTATATAACAATTATAATTACAACTTACAATTCCATACATACGAGGCGTTTCGGAAAAAATAAGGATAGGAAAACAATATAACATACGAACATCTTTTAAAACACAAAATACACTTAGACTCATTTTATTACATACTAAACCCATGAATACAGAACAACAAACAAAAAATGTAATATACGAAATACCATGTGAATGCGATAAATTTTACATTGGTGAAACATCTAGACCCTTAAATGTTCGAATTAAAGAACATAAAGATTATTTTAAAATAGGAAGGGAGATTTTCGCAAATCTAAGGTTTGTCAACATTCATGGGACACAGGGCACAGAATAAATTTTAATAACGCCAAAATTATAATGAAAGAAAAAAAAGCCTGTAAAAAAAATAAAAGACGCTTTTTTAATACAATCTAATAAAAATAATTGTATTGCTCATGCATCTATAGAAGTTAGTAATGTATGGCAATCGCTTCTTTGATTTTAAAGAACATAACATAAATAAACATAACATACTTAAAAAATAAAAATAATCATACAGAAAGTTTGGGGCTTTTTTGTTTTACCTTAATAATAGTAATTGTTATCAGGTAGTAATTGTTAATTTTGAAGTTTAACTTGATATAAGTTTAATATCTTTTTTGTTTTTTTTTTGCTTCCGACGGGCAACGACGGAAAGAGATAAACTTTCCGAACGTTAAGCATTTTTTGTTCGTGAGGCAAATTTGTATATCTGTAAACCTAATTTCTGACAAGTAGTTTCCGTTTGGGATTAACGCAGAAGTGTTTACAAAAAATAACTATTTTATTTTGTAGATTTTCTTGCAGTGGCGAAATACCCATATAAGGATTTTTTGGAAAGATGAATCCGCCACATATGTGTAGTCATCTTTTATATGCTGTATATTTAATCAACTATTTTCATACCATCATATTCACCGATTTCCGCACCACTTATGTATTCATTAATTCGAAAACTTGTGACGATTTTTCTGTCGTTACCCAAATAGAATGAAAAAAAAATCCGTTGTTCAGGGTTAGAGGAAAGCTGGGTTCTGACTCACAGTGACTTTCTAATGTTGTTAAAAAATAAAAAAAAATGATAATATATAGGCTGCAGAGATTTTAATAT